GCTGCTGGCTCTTCTCAGGCCCACCGCCTCTCTGCTGCAGACCGGGAGGATTTGATGCCCTTCAAAATGTAGTCTATTGATCTGTTTTCTAGGCAACGAATGCCGAAGCCGTGTCCACTAATGTGACTGCAGAAGGTTAAATATGGATTTGGCAAGAATTATGAGCTGCCCACAAATGTTTTAGAGATGATCTGAAATGCAGACATAGAGAAAGGGGCAACTCAGGGGCGGGTTTTGTGGGCACGTGTGCATCTCCCAAGGCGAAAGTTATGTCCTCTGTGTTTAATTGGCTTTGCAGTATGCTGGATCTTCAAAATACAATACCCATACCTGAAAAATTAGTATAAATGGGAGGAACACAAACAATGTCAAAGACAAAAAAAAATTCTCTTTACACATGTCTTACACATTTTTGATATTATGTGTGTATTAATCAGTCACCCTGTCATTCTTCCATTGCAATCGAGAAGGTAGAGTATTGAGAGACAGAGAAAGAACATAAAATCTTCTGTAGAAGGCAGACTTTTAACATGTTGGGACAAAGAGAACAAGAATTTAGCAATATGTTACTAAGTGACAGATTTAGAAAGTTCTTTGTCATTTGATCTTCAGGCTCTTTTCTCCTCTTGCTTTTTATACAAAGTGTGGGCAATAAAAATAGTTCTGTTGGTTTTCAGTTTGAGTCTGGTTTCACATCTGTCTTTTATGTGGTGGTAGCTGTAGTATGCTTGAATTCATAGAAAATACCTCAGGGAATGCTTACAATCTACTCTTGGGATATTTTCTAGATTTTTGTTTAATAAAATGTGTGTGCATATGGCCTGATTCATATTAAAGTGGATTTTTGCTGAACATTTCAGCCTTGGAAAACCTAGGTATGAATCTTGATTGTAATATCTCCCAGCCATGTAACCAGTAATAATATTACATCGCCTCTCTCAGGTCACATTTTTTATGTGTAGAATGCTGATAATCACAAGTCACTCACATGACATGTCACAGGGTTGCTTGGTGTGTTACAAGAAAACTATATGAGGTAGTAAATTGCAAATGATAAAACCCACTAAAGACGAATTATTAATATTGAAACATTTCTACCTTTATTTGAATATTACCATTAAGAGAACCTGTTTGAGAAAAAGTCCTAAAATGGAGTTTGGAGCTCTCCTTGAGTAAAAGAGATGTGGAGATGATGGGAAAGTTCAGGCTTCTGGATTTAGGCATTAGCCCTGGAGACAAACTAAACAGGGAAGGGAATTTTTTCTAAACAGGCTTATGGATAAGCAGATACCTCAGAGATGTGTCTTTGACTTTTCAGGCTGCTGTAATTGATTTATTGTGCCTGTGTGAAGTTTGTGTGCAAATGTGATATTAACCCGTAATTATACTCTAAAAGTGTGAATTATATAGGCAATGAAATGTTATGAGACTGAAAGGTGATGCTGTCCCAGAGGAATGGTTTTGTAGGATCAGACTTCTCTTGTGTGTGTTGGTTTCCAGAATTAAAAACAGCACCTTACTCCCTCGCCAGCTCCGCTGGAAAAGTAACATGGGTCTGCGTGATTTAGAAACCTTTCTCTTCTGCTGGTTGTAGGGTGGGGCTTAAAATGAAAAATGAAACACTGCTTGTCTCGATGATCGTATCTAAAAGCATATGATGTGCCAGCAGATACGGGAACAAGAAGTTCTGCTGGTTTTTTCTCTGGCTTTTTTAAGAGGGTGAGGTAGAGATAATATTCTTTCATCTTCTGTACAGTTCTAAGGGCATTGTGGATTCTCAAAAATTACTGAACTACCCATGACAGTTTCAGATCTGTGGCATGGATGGTTTAATAGATTTCACCAGTTATGTGCTTCCTGAATGAATATTCAGCTTTTGTCAAGTTCAGGAGAACAGAGCACTTTAAAAATCAGGAGAGTGACAAAGCATATTTAGTTTGTGGATGAATGACAGTAACTGCAGATGCAGCAAGTAGAACCAAATCAAAAAGTCATTAAAAATGCTAGTTGATGCTAATTGATTTAATGTGTTGGAATATCTGAGAGTTCAAAAGTAGCTTCGAATAAGCTGCTTTGTGATTGTAAGCCAGCTTCATCACTTACCAGAGGGAAACTTTGGGAAGGTTGCTTAGTCCCTCTGAGCTTCAGTCTCCTCATTTGCAAAATGAAGGTAGACCTATTGTAAGGTTTCCATAAATTATTACAGTTAAGGTACCTGAAAGTATACCTAGAACATCACACTCACTCATTAATGCCAGCTATTATTTAAATATTTTAGCAAAATAATTTAAGCAAGGAAATCTCTTCATATACTGAAATTCCTTGTAAAGCCAGAATAAAAACAATGTGTTCAAATTCTTTGGTTGGCTTTTTTTTTTTTTTTTTTTTGGACAGCGCCTTGCTCTGTCACCCAGGCTGGAGTGCAGTCATATGAGCTCACTGCAGCTTTGAACTACTGGGCTCAAATGATCTTCCCACTTTAGCTTCCTGAGTAGCTGGGATTACAGGCACATACCACCATGCTTGGCTAATTTTTATTTTTTTATTTTTAGTAGAGATGAGGTCTTACTATGTCACCCAGGCTGGTCTTGAACTCCTGAGTTCAAAGAATCCTCCCATCTTGGCCTCCCAAAGTGCTGGGATTATAGGAGCCCCCGTGTCCAGCTGTCTGTTGGCATTTGTATTGTGACATTTGGCACAATTGTTATGTTAATAGAATTGCTGAGAAAAAAGGGTATTGTGCTAGGTGGACCCACGCTTCATTTTTCCTGCATCCCAGCCCTCACAGTGATTTAAAGAGGGACACTGACATGTAACAATAGAAGATAATGCTGATGTGTAACCACTGGGCTTGAAATATTCCTTACACATAGCGTAAGATAGGCGTGCAGCAAATTCCCATTAGACAATTCATTTTCAAAACAACCTCTGCTATTGCTATCCCAGTTGCATATACAACATATATGGCATCTGGCAAAAACCATATCCCAAGAGTCTCTCTATCTACGTGGAACTGACTCCTTCTCCATCCTATCAGACATACCTCTTTCTTTCATTTTTTCTGTTTCCTCCTTTCCCTCTCACAGTTTTACCATACTCTTTGTTTTCTTTAATTTTTTGTTCTTTTTCCCTGTCATGTCTGAAGTTTTCCAAAAAAAGTTGTAGCCATCCTCTACTACCAATTAAATGACAGAAACGCAGAAATTAGGCTTTCCTTGGCAGAGTATGCTTTACTCAATAAAGAAAGGAGAGCATAATTTGGCCCTTCTAAATGTTAAAGTCACTGCACATATCTTTTGTTTGAATTAATCATGGTTTCCGGTAATTGTTGAAGTGAGGGTTAACTTATTTATTTCTGTAATTCTTCCTGCTAGCATACGAAGACAGCAAATGGTAACTTGATCCTAGCCAAAGACTCCAAAAAAAAAAAAAAAAAAAAAAAAGGAAGTAGTGGTGGGTTGTGCTTCTGTTGCTCTGGGTTATACATTTCTTAGTGCTCTTTGGAAAAATAAATGGAGATACCAATAGGCATAATTATCACAAAGCGAAGGAGGGAAGGAACAATGAAACTGACATGAGAAGAACTGCGCATAGGTTGGCACTTCCGAACGTGGAAATGTTGCTGCTGGGGAGGAATAGAACATACGGCTTTGGGCTGAGCTCTAATCCTGCAGAACAGGAGACCCGGGGAGAAGGGGAAGAAAACGTGGGTGTAGCACAAAAGAAGCAGAAAGAAAATGAAGCAGTTTCCAAGGAACAGGTGACTAGGACTCACCTAGTTGTGAAAACAGATCAGCTTCTCTTCCGAGTTCTGTTTTACTGTTGAGTAAAGTACAGTGACTCCTTAGACACTGCCACAGAACCTTGTCATGATGAATTGTCCTTCTTAGCTTGCAGTAATGGGATTGTATACTTCCTTCTGTAGCTAGACTGGCAGCCCATCCCCATGTGCTATTCCTCAAGTTGTGCAACTGCACAGCCATATTTTCTTCCTTGTTCAAAGGGTGTGCATGTGGCCTTGGAGACTTCACTGTTTTGAGCTAAAGTCAGTGTCTCTTACTCTGGTCTCAAGTTTCAGTGGGTATCTCCCTGTGTTCCAGGCACATTTTCCAGTTGTAATTTTTCTACTTTCTACGATGCTTAAAAGTCAATGGGAATTGATCAAAATGTAAGAAAAACTGAGTTGTCTTTGGAATGCTTTCACGCTTTGTGATGGCCTTCTTAGAATTAGGACATGGAGAACGTGTCTGCCTCTTTAGGGCCCACACTAGGATGTGTGGGACTCTGGGCAAGTATTTTTTTGTGTGGGTCTCCCATTTATACAAGCAATTCCTTTGAAAAATGCTTTGCAAAATTTTAAACGTATATGAGGTTTAGTGATTGATCACTGAAGATTTAGAATGATAGGTAAAGAGGTACTAATGTATTTGTTTATTGTCCAGACTACTTGATAATTCTTTGTACCATCCCGACACTACTTCTTTCCTTCTGGATCCAGAAATCATCTCTTCATATTAGTTATTGTCAAGTGTGCTGTTCCTGGATAATTCATATTTCCCACTGTGAGAAAAGGGTAGCAATTGTGTTATTATTCAAGACCTATAGCTTGTCAGAACCTGTCCGTGTTGAGACATTCTGATTCTTCTTGCCTCTAAAGTCCCCAATGCTATTTGTTTCATGCTGGCTACATCATTACTCACGATGCTGTACCATCCATCCTGCTGCCTGTGAATACTGGCTTCCGATGGCTTTTTCAGAGGTTGTGCCCGTATTTCTTTGAAGATGACCACAAATGCACAGAGTATGCAGGAAAATGTGCATAGTCATTTATTTTATGGTCATGTTAAATTTACCCTTTGGAACTTTATGGTATAAATATAGAACAACACATTTTCCAACCATGTCGTCTCTTGAACCCTTGAGGCTGTAATGACAGCATTCCTAAAATGTGATCTCTTTTCATGTTGACTGCACCCCTGGTTTCCTCACACTGTTTCCAGTGGTGGAGCAAGAAGAGTGATCCCATTTATGCAAGGAATCCCTGACCCTTATCTCGCTCAGCTTAACCTGGGAGGGCCAGGCACCCCATCAGCTGGAGGAAAGAATGAACATGGATTGGAAGAGCCTGCTGGTGTTGCAGAACAACCATCTGGAAAGCCCTTGGAGGAGGTGGGTGAAGCCACCCTCGAGCACTGTGGTGCAGCCTGCAGAGGGGTGGGGCGATGGCCCTGGGTTTCAGCAGCAGCAGGTGCACAGCATAAACCTTGCCTGCCACCGCGGGTGCTGCAGAGCAGAGGCAACACCACAGTAGCAGCAAGGGGGATAACTGAGGAGGCAGGAAACCTCACATGCAGCTCGAACCCAAGGGCTGGCGGATGGCTGTTGGGAGCCCAGAGTCCTGAACTCATCCTGTGACCGAGTGAGTGAGAATCATTCAAAATCAGGATGTCAGCACCATTCTGGTGGCCCAATCACACACCATCCCATGACAGCAACCCTGTGCCAGTCAGCAGAATCAATCCACTCCCTAGGCTGCTTTTCTGGAACTGGAGGTCAGCCCCAGGGCCCCAGGATGACCTTGCAGGCACGATTTCTGGAGCTCTTTGGAATGTCAAGCCCATCTCGTGCATAAGAAAGTGGGTTGGGAAGAACTCTAAAGGGGAGAAAGGGGGACTGGGTACAAGCAAATCCCCATTTGGGCTCAGGAAACCTGCCCAGACCACACTACCAGCTCCAGCCAGGCCCAGGAACCAGAGGATTGGGGGTGGGAGGGGGTTCTCAGAAACTATCATGAAAGACATTTTCATGGGCCCCTGAATCGTGAGGACTGAGGGAGGAGCCCAGCTCACCTGGGTCTAAAGCGAGCCCTGCTGTTTGTTTCTTTCTGCAACAAAAAGGAGTGGAAAGGATAAAACAGAGGGTAGGCATGGAAGAGATGAGGTCAAGTATGAACTGCTCTTGGAAGCCTGAGTCCTGATAAGGGCTATCCACAGGTTGGCCCCTATTCAAGGGCTAACAGTTTTTCATCAAATAATTGAACTAATATATAAACAGTTACAGCAGCAGCAACAGCAGCAACAAACGCTTCTATAATGAAGCTCTACCAATTCTGCACTGGTGGGAGAAAATGCAAGAAAGGACATTATTCAGTCAATGGACAAAACTAGAATATGATTGTTAGAGTAGGAAAATTATTGTATCAATGCAAATGTATGAAGTTGATAAGCCCATGGTGGTTGTAGAAAAGAATATCCCTTAGGATACACTGAAGTATTTAGGGATAAAAAACAATGTTCAGAAAAAAATTACCTATTTATCTGTCTGTCTATCAATCATCTGGCAGTCTATTAATCTACTGATCTATTGATCATCTATCATCTATTGCAAATGACAAAGCAAATGGGAATAAACTGTTAACAGCAGCAAAATCTGGGTAAAGGCTAAATGGATAGATGATCTTTGTACTATTTTTATTTTTGTGACTTTTTGTAATGTTAAAAATTATTTCCAAATAGAAAGTTAAAAAGGTTATCTCAACACAATGTATCAATTCTGGTAAAATAGTTATAACAATGTTTTCTTTCCTTCCCTTCCCCCATCCTCCCTTTCTCATTCCCCACCCCCTTTCTTTTCTTCCTCTTTCCATTTTCCCTTGGCATCATATAAATGAATACAGTTAGGAAACTTCTGGCATGCTGGCATGTTCCACAGATTAAAAGAATTTAAAATTAAAGGAAAGTATTGGCTAGATCCAGGATGGGTGAGATGGCAACAGAGTTGCAAGCAGAGGCAAGAGGATTCAGAACTTGACTTTGTGTTTCTGTAGCTAATACAAAAGTTGTATAGAGAACTTGAGTAAAAGAATAACAATAGGCTGGGTGCAGTGGCAAATCCCAACACTTTGGGAGGCTGAGCTGGGTGGATCATCTGAGGTCAGGAGTTCGAGACCATCCTGGCCAACATGGTGAAACCCCATCTCTACTAAAAATACAAAATTAGTTGGGCGTGGTGGTGTGCGGCTTCCCTTCCCTTCCTTCTCCCTTCCCTTCCCTTCACTTCCTCTTCCCTTCCTTTCCCTTCCCTTTCTTTCTTTCCTTTCTGGCTCTATTGCCTGGGCTGGAGTACAGTGGTGCAGTCTCAGCTCTCTGCAACCTCTTCCTCCCGGGCTCAAGCAATTCTCCAGCCTCAGCCTCCTGAGTAGCTGGGATTACAGGCATGCACCGTCATGCCTGGGTTCTTTTCGTGTGCATTTTTAGTAGAGATGGAGTCTCGCCATGTTGTCCAGGCTGGTCTCGAACTTGTGAGCTCAGGTGATCTGCCCACCTGGGCCTCTCAGAGTGCTGGGATTATAGATGTGAGCCACCGGGCCAGCCTAGAATGTCCTTATTTCTAATCTAATGGTTGCCAAGGGCATCACAGCATGCCATAGTGGTTAGTAATGTGGGCTCTGGGAAAAAAGAGTTTGAGTTTAAGCTAAGCTTTTGCACTTCTCACCTGGGTGATCTTGGATAGATGGCTTCATTTCATCATGTGTCAGCTTCCTCACCAGTAAATGGCATCTGATAGGAATATCTTCACCTGAAAGTACCAGAAAGTATGACTTACAGTAGCTTAAACCAAGAGAAACCCAAAGAGCAGGTGCTGTTGATCAATAGTGTGAGAGAAATGAGGTTTTTTGTCTCTGCCATACCGTGTGTGCGATTCTACTTTTCATACAAAAAGAAGAGAAAAGAGACATGGGAGAGTTTTAGCTGAGTCGGCCTTTTTATCAGAAAATCAACGCTTTTCTCAAATTTCCAATAAGCAGAAACTCACTTATGGGCCTGATTTGTGTCTTCTGACCACCTTTGCTTGAATTTGGGAGAGAAAGGAGATTATAGATATGGCTTAAATCAGACAATCAAGAGTATGGGTTATAATGTGTTACAGGATTCTGAATATTAAATGAGCTAATGGCTGTAACGTTCTTAGAAAAATTCACAAGTGCTCAATTGTTAGCTTGTTATCATATTCGTAATACTAATAGAAGTAGAATTTTTGTGTACATATTGAAAATATCATCAGAAATAATTTTGATAAAACCTATGGAAACAGGGAAAAAGGATGAAGTCAACAGCTCCCTCCTTAGTTTCACCCTTGGAGAAGGCTTAGAAGGAAGCGAAGCATTGAGGTGTGAACCACCTGCGTGCTTACAAACACCAGTGGTTGACCCCCTCTGTAGGCCAGGTAGGAGTGTGGGACCTGCTACGATTGAGAAGGGCTTGTAGATTTCAAAGAGGATGCTGGGATTCCAGAGTAGCACAAGTGGCTGCACTTATTTAGTTATTTTGATTATAATAATATATGTGGTCATCAGTTTCTCCCTGATTTTCCATGTGGATGGGCTATATTTATTTTCTTGGGGTTGGCTCAAAGTAGACACAACAATCTTTGCCTTGAACATTTTCAGTGAGCCACGTTGCCCCTCCTGGAAGTGGGGGTGCTTTGTCTGTCCACTGGGGTTCCATGGACACAAGTACACCCACATTTTATTGGTGGCTCTTTTCCAAGTTGCTAGCTTGGCGCTTTTCAAAATGTGCTGAATGGCTGTTTGGAACTTGTCTCTGCTGACTCCACTGGGCTCGGTTTCAAATCTCTCCTAATCCACTAATGAACCTTTATTAAAGTGGGAGACAGAGGGTGAATCAGTCTTTGGACGCATTATTAAAATAAAGTAGGAGCAGTGAAATGATCAAAAGAGAACAATAACAAAGGAAAGCTCAGTCTCTCCACCACCCTCTATTCAGTTCTTTAAAGCTGATATTTTGGGGGAAGAAATGTCAATATTATTAGATTAGTTTTCAGTAGTCTTTAATTTTGTTTTATTTTAACTTTAATTTTGTTTTATTTTTCAGGGAAGCTCACGAAGGGACTGTCATTCACCAGCAAACCCCTGCCCCCTCACTTTTTCTTTTTTGTAATTGGAAGTTCAGGTTGAACTGCTCTGTAGTTATTCACCCACTTCTGCTGGTCAAAGGCCCACGAGGATTTAAATGACTAAATAGGCCATAAAATGCCAACCTTTTAGAAGTCTCAAAAATGTCTGCTGGATCAAACAGTCAGCATGAACCACCCTTAGATTCCTCTGCCACCCACTTTGCTCCCTGTGTCTGGGACACCCTGAGTCCACAGTGACTCTGTGCCAAACTATAAAGAAACCACCATGTACCTTTTCAAAAATGTCCACTTGTCCTTAAAGTCACGAATCACGGAAGAGATGGCTTCCAGATATGCAACTTCACTTCCGACGCCATCACCCTCTAAAATTTCCCTGTGTTTTCACTGAAGTCATGCACCCACTTCTGCTGGTTCCTGGCTCACATAAACATTGAGCAAGTAACTTTCCATTAGACCCAGAGGATGGACTAGGATAGACTTCTGAATGCCTGAAAATTCCTGGTCCTCAACAAACCTGTGTTCTGCTCAATAATTTATTTTGTAAGAAGAAGTTATAATAAGTCTAGTCATTAAATCAAAAGAGAAAAACCTTAATTAAGTATAATATTGTTGGTACTTGTATTTGTCCGTTCCATTTCTTCATTAACTTTTTGATTGGTAAAATAAAGATCATTACACAAATCTATTCTCAAATGTAGCCATGGATGATTTGATTTCTCTTTCTCTCTTTTCTCTCCCTGTGCATACACACACACACACACATACACACACACACACACATATATATATATACACACACTCAGAGAACAGAGTTGTCTCTCTATACACACACAGAGCATGTATATATGTGTGTGTATATATATGTATATGTGTGTATGTGTGTATATACATTTATATGGAGAGAGAGAAAGAGAGAGAGAGAGAGAAAATAGAGAGAGAGAGAGAAAGATGCTCCTCAACTTACGATGGGGTTATGTTCTGATAAACCCACCGTAAGCTGAAAATATTCCAAGCCAAAAATGCACTGAATGCACCTAACCTTTCGAACACCGTAGCTTAGCCTAGTCCACTGCAAATGTGCTTAGACACTTAACTTGTAAATGCGCAATATTTACATTGGTCTGGAGCTGGACAAAATCATCATCACAGTCTATTTCATAATAAAGTGTTGAATATGTCATGTACTTTATTGAATTCTGTACTGAAAATGAAAAACAGAATTGTTGTACGGGAACTTGAAGTACAGGTTCTACTGAATGTGTTTCACTTTCACACCGTTGTACAGTTCAAAACATCGTAAGTTAGGGACCATTTGTGTATATACCTATATGAGATATATGTAAATAAGATATATATGTAAACAACATATATGTCAATGAGATATATAAAAACATATAAATAATACATAGATCTCCTTGTTGAATCCTACTGTGTACAAGACATAATTTTTTATGCTGGGATTCATCAGTGAAGAAAAGGAAGGAAAGCTCTGGGCTTCACAGAGCTCATACTCTGGTGAGGAAGACAAAAATTATATAGAATATAAGAAGGTGAGGGCCGGGCACGGAGGCTCATGCCTGTAATCCCAACACTTTGGGAAGCCAAAGTGGATGGATTACTTGAGGTCAGGAGTTCAAGACCAGCCTGACCAACATGGTGAAACCTCATCTCTACTAAAAATACAAACATTAGCCAGGTGTGGCGGTACATGCCTGTAATCTCAGTTACTTGGGAGACTGAGGCATGAGAATCACTTGAACCAGGAGGTGAAAGCTGCAGGGAGCCGAGATCGCGCCACTGCACTCCAGCCTGGGTGACAAAACGAGACTCCATCTCAAAGCAAAAAAAAAAAAAAAAAAAAAGAGAAGGGGGTAAGTACCGTATGCAAAAGCAGAGCCAGGTGGGGGACAAGAGTCTTGAAAAGTTGTCATTTACCCATTTAGATAATATGGTCAGAGAGGCCTCCCTGAAAAGGTAATGTCTGAGCAGAGACTTACGGGCGGAGAGAGAACAGGGTGAGAAGATCTCTGGGGGAGGAGTAGAAAGTGCAAAGACGCAGGCAGCGATGAGCCCCATCCGGTTGGGACAGAGTGAAAAAGGGGTTCAGCTGGAGGGACCTGAGAGGTGAGGGTGGCAGGGCGGGTGGAGGTGTAAGCTCAGCAGATGGTGGACACCCTGGAGGCCACTGTGAGGCTCTGGTTCTCGCTCTGAGTGATTTCAAGGTCCATTGCCTGGTTGCAGCAGAGAAGAGAACAAGCCTTATGACCTGGTTTCTCTTGAAGAGGATCATTCAGGTAGGCGCTTTGAGGAAAAACACAAAAACAAAAACAAACACGTAGGAGGGTCTGGGAGGATGTAGAAAGCCCTATTTGTAAGGCTTTGTGATCTGGGTATATGTCCACTGAGCAGTGAACTTACCGTCTCAAGTTCTGTATTCTAGTTGGGACTCTTCTGCTAACTGCTGGAGGGTATTGGCACAATCCCCTTACTGTTTTATTCAGAAGGGAAATAGAAGTGAACACTTAGTATTTAAGTTTGAGCCAATTTCTTCTTAATCCCTGTGATCTGGAGCCTGCTAGGATCCTCAAGTTTGTTTTTCTTTTTTTTCCAACACCAGAGCCTGGGTCTTTGCTTGCCCCACCTCTGTCCTCCGTTTCTTTACTAACAGCGCCAACTTCCCTTCCCAATCCTCTCAGCACATGCAGAAGTCAAGAAGCAGAGGACAATGGCTTTGCTAAACCCTGAATTGTTCCAAAGTTTGAAGTTGTAACCCATGAGCTATCTCTTTGATGAAAGCAGTCAAAACTGGATGTTAGAAATATTTTGGAGGTTAAAGGAAGAGCGACTTGCACCTCCCTACCACTGAACTGTTTAATATTCTAGAATTGATGTTACACAGTAAAAGACAGACAACTCTGTCTGCAGTTCTGGGACTGGGATATGCCTGTGCATACACGCATCTGCTCTGTTTTGGTTTCACTTCACTTTAGTTATTTGATTTGGTGTCTGCAAAACCCCGTGTGCACATTTTTATGAGCCTTGGGACAATTTACTGCCAAGCTTGCTTGAACTCTAAAATATGCCTCCAGTTTTGGAAAACCACAAATTATTTACCAAGGAGGCAAGGAAATGGAGGTCACTGGGCTCATTTCTTACATAATTTTCAACTTCCCTTTTGAGGCCTGACATCTCCTGGCAGTCACAATGATGTCTTCCTTAGATAGATTCAATAATGGGGAAGAACAGGTGAAAAGTGGTGAAAGTTGCTAACTGCTGTGTTCCTCTGCTTGCTTTTCATGCTGTGTGCCAGGAATCAAAGCTGCAGGAGTGGAAGGTAGATGTAAAGTAACCCCTTTTCCTAGGTTATTGTGTTTATAAAGCGTTAAATAAGAAATGCTAAACAAAACAAAACAAAACAAAACCCTCTACTTTGTGGGAAGCAAAGTTATTTAAGGTATGAAAACAACAGTATTAACCTAAAACAATAGAATAAATGATCACTAAAGTGAAAGTACAGAACAGGTATAGAAAGTCAATCTTTGAAACATCAGCCGGTATCAGTTTCTTTCAAGATAATTCAAGGGTGATTAACATGTAACTAGCAAATACATTCAACATACAAGAGAAAAAGTGTGAGGATAAAAGGGGGTGATAAAATAAGTAGGGGAATGAGGGATGACCACAGATCAAATGGAAAGGATAAGGAAGGAGGAAAAGATAGCTCCTATGTGTCTAGCTTGGAAAGATAATGACTCAATTGAGTGAATAGGGGAGACAAACTGAGGGTTCAGGAATTTTTATTTTTATTTATTTTTGAGATGGAGTGTAGTTCTGTCGCCAGGCTGGAGTTCAGCGGCCTGATCTCGGCTCACTGCAACCTTTATCTCCCGGGTACAAGCAATTCTCCTGCCTCAGCCTCCCGAGTAGCTGGGATTACAGGCATGCACCCCACACCTGGCTAAGTTTTGTAGTTTTAGTAGAGATGGGATTTCACCTTGTGGATCAGGATGGTATCAATCTCCTGAACCTCATGATCCACCTACCTTGACCTCCCGAAGTGCTGGGATTGCAGGCATGAGCCACTGCGCTTGGCTGGAACTCACGAATTTTTAAAGACATGGCAACATTCTTGTTGTATGGGTTTACTTATGACAGATGGGTACATAGGTCTGTCCAAAGGGGCTGGGACACTTTGTTAGGTTTTAGGAATTTTTTTCTGCTAAATTCTCTTTTTCCTTTCTTCCAAGGAGGCAGGGTAAGGAGAGGTACCAGGTGCTGGTGGATTGTTTACCTTGGAGATTACCGCCTTACAGAGGAAATAGCTGGTACCTCAGCAGGGACCTCTTGGTGGGCTTCAGAGTTGTGAGTTGAACACTTGGAGCGGGGAAACATTGGATGTTTTCATGACATCGGTAGGATTTAATTCAATCAACGAATAGGACCCAGAATTAAATTAGCTGAGACAGTGGGGGAAGAGGGGCAGAATCCCAACTGTGCTTAGTTATAATTTCAGATGTAGAATAAAGAGTGCTCCAGGAAGCACAGCTTCAGGCCAATGATGAGATTTTGAATCCCTTCATGTTTATGATTTCATTTTTTTCCCTTCATGCTTATGATTTTAATTATCTCTGTTTCCCAAAGTGATTAGCAGAAACAATTTAAGATGAAATGAATATATGTGCTGGAAGGGGAGGCAAAAGTAGGGTGACATCCCATTTCATAGTCGGGCTTGTGGGTGGGGAGAGGGGATGGTGCAAGTGAAGAGAGAGAGGGCTCAGTAGTTTCTGAGAGGAGGGAGGAGAAGAGGAACACAAGCTTAGTTTCTGAAGAAAGAAATCGATGGGAACCCAGGCTGATTCCTCTTGGGTCTGCAACACTCCAGACAAATCCAGAAGCTGGCAGCTGGAATGAATGTTTATTTCTCAATAGAATGAAAAAAGAAATGAGATGGAGCTGAAGATATTGTACTGTCTGAAATGATTTACCTTATGGGCATTCAGGCTAATGAATGGGTTCATTTCCACATCCATGTGTGATCTATGTGAAGTTCATTTCATATCTGCAGTGCTCTCTGTAAGAAAGGTAGTCTAATGCCTGGCACTGTTAAGGGCTCAGTAAATGTTGATTTCTTACTTCTGTTTCTACCCACAATGACACCTGATTCTCTATTATTCTGGTATGTGAGCAATCTCAGTCAAGCTGTCTACAGTGTATATCTGTGCTTTCTAAAGTCAACATACAAAGTAAGAGTTAAGGCCGGCTGCGGTGGCTCATGCCTGTAATCTCAGCACTTTGGGAGGCCAAGGCAGGTGGATCACCTGAGGTCAGGAGTTTGAGACCAGCCTGACTAACATGGTGAAACCCCGTCTCTACTGAAAATACAAAAATTAGCTGGGCATAGTGGCACATGCCTGTAATCCCAGCTATTCAGGAGACTGAAGCATGAGAATTGCTTGAACCCAGGAGGCTGAGGTTGCCATGAGCCGAGATGGCACCATTGTACTCTAGCCTGGACAACAAGAGCGAAGCTTCATCTCAAAAACAGAAAACAAAAGACAAAAAACAAAGCACAAAACAAAGTAAGAGTTAAGATGTAAAGTTCTAAACTCGACTTCTTTTGAATTGTTTTCTCAATGTTCCAATTGACTCATACTTGTCAGGCATAAAGTTTCTCCTTAAAATTGGTTTTATTTATCTCAGTTATGAGACAATTAGAAACAAATGGTTTCTATCTGGTTTGAAAAGCAGCTACAACCTTCAAATGATAAACACAATTTATCCATCTTTCATTTGTCCCTTGTTTTGACTTTGTTGAAATGAATTTCCTTTTTAAACTAGCGATATTCAGATAATTTGTGAAATATTTTATATGGGTTTAAAATAAGGACTGTGGCACATTGATCATCTAGCCCATTAGAATCAGCAAGTCTTTCGTTTTCAGCAGTTTAGTTGTGAAATGCCTAGTTGTGGTTTTCTTTCTTTCTTTTTTTTTTTATTATACTTTATGTTCTAGGGTACATGTGCACAATGTGCAGGTTTATTACATATGTATACATGTGCCATGTTGGTGTGCTGCTCCCATTAACTCGTCATTTACGTTAGGTATATCTCCTAATGCTATCCCTCCCCCCTCCCCCCACTCCACAATAGGCCCCAGTGTGTGATGCTCCCCTTCCTGTGTCCA